ACTCAAAAAATTTTCACCAGAAAGCATTCGCGCTATTGCTCGAAACCCAAATATAGACTTACAATCAATAGGAATCTTTTCAAAATCAGATATTCAACATCACATTAGAACACAACAATTCCAAGAATTATTAACACAAATGGACACTATACAAAGACAATCAATAGACCAAAATTTACGCAAACTTGCAGAAACCGCAGGATTTGCCGATATCTACACGCAAGACTATAGCGGATATTTTAAAGACATTAAAGATTATATATATCTAAACGGTGAAAAATACCGTCCCCAAGATATATCACCAATTAACATTTTTAGCTTTGTTACACTCAAAAATGAGATCCTCGATTTTCTAGGATGGCCCTACTACATCTTAGAAAAATTGACTATTTTATACGCAATGTTTAACTTTATTGGATTTCTTTTCTCACTTTTAAAAGGAATCTACAACACATGTGCTATACACACACAAGTAAACAGACAAGCAAGCGTAGCACGCATACTCTTTGCAGGATTTTTTGGAATCTTTTCTACATCTATAAACAAAATTCTTTTAGACGCACAAATAAAAGAATATAACACAAAAATAGCAACACGACAAAATACATACGACGAAGAACATAACAATGTAGACATAACGCCAACGGCACCACAATTACCAGCCCTACCAAATAACCATCCACTATCCCTAGTCCCACGAAATTTTCGAAATTTAGCCATCACACATAATCCAAATTTTCGACTCACCACATCACAAAGTCCCATCCAACATATAATGACACACCAGTCACAAGATGATAATACTTATGAACAAATTATTGAACAACCCCATACCACCGCTTTTCAGTCTCAAAATAATCATTTTTTTAGCCCACGATGAGCCGCCAACTTGGATCACTACACCGATCAAATTCCCACCCAACCAATCTTACCTCTCCAATCCCAATAATACCACTTTTTGCTTTTCCGCCACCCGATTTTTCACCTAGTAATGTAACATCAGGCATGAATTCCGACACTAATTCACACATCTCAGTTTTATATTTCATCTCACAACTCAATAACCCGAATATTGAAACCCCCGATGAATTTGCCGACTCAGAACCATCCCCATCCAATAATTTTCATAACTCTTCTAATTTTTCTCAACCCCCTTTTCAACCCATATTATCCAATAACCCTGACCCAATCACTCCCACACCCTCTTATGCTTCCCAGGTTACCCCAACCTACTCCTCATACCATTCTGACCAATCATCTCATTCTCCAGACACCCCCCGAATCTCCCCAGAGCTAGATAATTTTATTACCCTTCAACAACAACCCTACCACCTTAATACCCCAACCATAAACCAAATCTCCTCCACAATAAATTCATCCAACCCCCCTACCCCTACACCCTCTTCAAATTATACTGAATCATTAGCACCATCATCCACATCAACTGAATCTTCACTCAACACTAATAGAGCTTACCGCACTTTTAAAAGAAAGTTCCCCAACCATCCTTTCCCAGCAAAACCAGGAACAGCCCGTGAATACATCAACCACCCCAAGCATACTAACACAAAAGAATTTTTAGCCATCACCTTACCCTCATTCCCACAATACACCTTAAACACCCCCCACGACACTAACGAAACACGCAACTTTGTAGATGAATACGTTTTAATGCCCACTCTCTCTTGGACCTCATATTATCATTTTACTAACACTCTTTGCTTACCTTTATCTAACACTCACATCGATATAGAGCGAAATACGGACATGCTATATCGACTCACTACACCACTAACCGCTAGACAATTTACTTACGTTGGATATAAAAAATCACTAAAAACACACACTGCACCTAGAGCTAACGAATATACACTCGAATACTATGATCACAACATCATCAGAGCTAACCAAGATCAATTCTTAGACGACGATCGCTTCGCTAATCCACAAATTACCGAGAAATTTTTCATCAAGACACCATATATATTTACACTAAACATCTTCGACCGAAAGTTTGATCACATTATTTCAGAAGCACTAACAGACACACAAGCATACGAAAGTTTTAAAGAACGCTTCCAAATATTTTCACTAACCTTTCATTTCCTTGCACCACACGAAAGAGATTTACACTGCTCACACGATATTATGTTGCGCACTAAACAAACCCACACATATAGTTATTATCGCTTCATCCAAAATCACTTTGACCTACACACACCCTCTAGACAACCACACCATCGTTTTCAATTCATTAATTCCAAATACACTTCACCATTTTTCCTAAATTTCACATATTGTATTAAAGACACTAACCTCCATGGTATTCTTCGTAATTATGACCCCATAACCCAAATGTACATCTTCTGTCCCATCACCAAGACCTTCAACGCCGAAGAATCCCGACCCTTCCTTATCCCGCACGAGTTTGTACAACCTATAGAAATCCCAATTTTAGAATTCATCCACAACACTAAATTCAATCACAAATTATATAATCTAATCCAAAACACACCTTATGAGTTTGCAGTTGGCACTGAAGAACTAACCACTATTAAGGCACTTCAATTGCTTTGGCCACTGCTTCAGACTAAAAATATCATCCGCATCTTAGCTAAACTACTAACAACTTCAGAACTAATTCACGACATCTTCCCCCACGGTTTTTTCCCCGACGACTAACAGGTAAGTATGAATTAAATGAATATAACTAACTAATTGAAATATTAAAAAACTCACCATACTTTATCCATGTTTTCCTTAGATTTTTAGCCTTCATCCGACGATCACCTACAAAAACCACAAAAAACAAATAAAGATCGCAAATTTCATCAAACAGACTTCAACAATTCTATTAATCTCTTACACTTATAAATTTATAAATTTAATACCAATGCAGTAAATTCATTTCTAAAATTTTCCCCACAAGCAGTAAATCTAATTATAATGAAAATTTGTAACTTAAAATTCCCCCATAACTAGCAGTAAATTTCCAAATTCTATGCAGTAAATTAATAAAATGCAATTGCAGTACTAACCTTTTGATATTTTCATTCATTCGCACAGAAATTCTATCCACACTCGCACAGCTCGCCCACGAAGAATTGTTTAAAAATAATGAATTTCAGTTTCAAGTTTTCACACTCAACAACTCTAACATATAATAACATGTTTCAAACTTTCCTTTAACCCGGTTGGAAAGGAATCATATATTAAACAAAACTAACCAACGCAGCTTACTAAATACCACAAATCATAGAATAACAGCATGACTAAGAAAAGGAAACCAACGGTACCCAAACCGGATTAACCCAGTTTAAAACTGGATAATTTATTCTTTTGAAGACTATTATAAAGTCTAAGAAAGAAATAATAAAACACAAAAAAGTCGAAAGACAAACCCATACCACGAACAATTTACTTTTTGGAAAAAGGACATAACCAACAAGACATAAGAAAAACCACAACAAACCCAACATAAAACGTTGTCACATAACAGGACCCCTCACAAAAACCGCATGAAATCATACTCCCATTCCTGGCCTAACCCACCAGGAAGGACGTCCTGAGCATGCTCTATAGCCGGCCTAACCCACCGCGCTACATCCACGCTTTGTGACCACACCTCTATTTTTAATAAGAGCTACTCAAGTGTGAGTAACTCTTCAAAATAACCGAACTAAAACAAAAAGCTTTTGTGAAAACAACTAACTAAAATCATAATAAAAAAATATTAAACTAATAAATGTTTTATAAAATGTAAATTACATTATGCAATACATAGATCAGAATACAACACCAAGGACGAACATCTAAAGACAAAACGACCCCACTACACTCGAGAGAGAATGACCAACCACAATCGATATGCCACTCACAATCACAACTCAAAGGATTTAGAGTACGACTTGACTTCGCAGAAAAGGACTTCATTGAACTAGACCAATGACCACCTCGATGTTCAAGTATACGTACAGATCCGAGTAACCAGGCATCCCCTCCACGCACAATCTCCACGCCATTCCCAAACTAGATCAGACACAAAAGAAGTTCTCCACGCAGAACAGAAAAACCTGACATAGCCAACCATTCTGAAATCAGATTTGAGTTTGTTGCGAAGACTTAGTCGTTGTCACTAGAAGACACAACGTCTTATGTCTCTAACTCCAGCTTCCTGGAACTTCTTTAACAAAAAGGAAACAGAAGAAATAAGATGTTCGCCAAACACCAACTTCCATCATCCATCCTTCGAATTGCAGAAGAACTATTCTAAAAAACTCTGTAAAACCCGGATGGGTGGAACCTGATCTAAACTACATTTTATGATTGGATAAATTAGATATTTTACCAATGTAAAGTATTTAATATTAACCAATCATGATCCATCTAACTAACAACCCACTTATTTGTAAGTGCTGAAGTTACTTGTAATTTCAGCACCAGAGAGATTTGAATTTAACTTAGAAATTAGTTGGACTCTCCCGAGCACTTCAGCAGCCGCAATAAACCAGTATACCCTAGATCTATTGAGCCTAGCAGAGACTAGTTAAACAACCTGAGACTAGATAGTATAAGAGTAAGATTAGGATCGGTATTAGACTAAGAAGTTGCACGAATCTATCCGGCCGAAAATAAGATAGCGTGACGAGCAGACGGTGTACCCTATCCGAAATTACTCTATGAGTTATACACTCCAGTCATAACTCACTATTTAAATTTTTAATAGTCAAGGTACAAATGAAACTGAAATTTTAAACCCTCAGGTAGACATTCATAGTGAAATAATCAAAAATTTGAAATAGAATTGTTGAGAGAATTTTCTTTTGGCTTTCTTCCATATTTTAACTTTGTGTGAAAATCAATCAACTCAAAGTTTCGACAAAATTATACAAAACTGTTTGATACATTTCAGCTCTACAAAAACATCAAAATGTGCTTAACTGAATGAATAGTCCAAAATATCCACGATTAAAGTGTAAGTTGTAAAGTATTGATCACACCTTCGAACATAAAAGTGTCCACCTCTTCCCGGATGTCGACAAAAGAGAGTCCGTGCTCCTGTTTGGCAATCAGAAGCAGATCCAGAAAAGACCTCCTCTTCTCTTTAACTTCGTCCAGTTGGTCCTTAATTTCGGCCCACCTGTTTCACAAAAAAAATAATTGTTTGAAAATTTTCTGTTTTTGGTAATGCGTGAGCTTAAAGCTTTATTGACTTTTTCCACGTTTTCGGGAATTTTCTGTATAATAAAAAAAAATTTTGCGGTGTTTTCTATCAAAAAAATATGCAGTTTTTGCGATAACATTGTTCAACTCTCAAACAAAATAACACGATTTTTTGTTTAGTTGCATTCTGCATTCATTTGATATTTAACTTATAAGCAGTAGCGTGCCTAAGAGGGGGGAGGGCGACCCCCCTCAATTCTGGTTGCCAAGTTTTTCCAAAAGATTCTCCCTTTCGTTCGGCGCCAATATTAAATATTAAATTTGAGAGGGGACGCGCACTGAAAAAACGCCATTTTTGGTCAAATCAGCTGTAGTTTTTAAAATTTCATTTTTTTGAGTCTATTATCTATTAAAAATTAGAAACAAGGATAGCCAGTTACTTTGCAAGTAGAACAGAATAATCCGACCATAGTCTTCAAAAAACTACAAGAATTTTTTTTCAATTTAGCGTAGGTGGTTCTGCGTGGTGTGATAAAAAGATCTGACGTAAGTCTACAGTTTAGGCATATTCGCAAGTCATGGTAACATAGACAAACTTGGACGACATATTTTGAAGAAAATGACTAGAAAAACAAACAAAATCAAAAAACTAATTTTTAAAAAGTCAAATTTTTTTTTCAATTTTTTGTGCACTTTTTTTCAAAATTTAGTGGGAGTTTTTGATTCCAAAACTGTCATTAAAAATCTCCGAAATTAATTTACTCGAACAAAATTAAAATTAAGCATAGATTAGCTATTGTAAGCTTTTAAGCAATTAAAATAAGCTATTGTAAGCCTTTTAATCGCTTGAAATAAGACGAAAAATCAATTTAAGACGAAAAAATTCGAACACCGTTTTTTTTTACACTTTTCTTCGAAAGAAAAATTATTTAGAGTTTTTTAATGTCGTTAGAATCACGACTAAAACAGCTTTAATCTGATATATCACTCAATTCTCTCCGATGGTTTTTTGTGGCAGCTAATTTTGCGCGGAACACAAAAAAAAAGAAAAAGAACTAAAACACACGAATACAAAGTTCCTCCCCATTTTTCAAATGGTCGGAACAAAAATCATTTTTGGTATTTTCATAAAACAGTTCTTTGTAAAATGCATTATCTACCTGGTCGTGATCACATTAGTTGTGAATGTGTGAAGAGCTGCCACTGTGCGATTGAACTTGCGCCCTACTGGGGTCAGGTAGTTGTAGATGACGTCATTCCAAAGGAGGGGGTTCTTGAAGCGGTCCATCATCATCTCGGTCACCTGATAAACTAATTTTTCCCGCAACATCTCAAAACTAAGAGAATAATGGATAAATTATGCCATAAAATTCAATATTGTTATAAAAAACTCCACACTTCCCCACCCCTATTCAGTTATTTTTACTAAACTGATTCCTCTGTAGTATTCGGGCGCGCACCTAGAATTTCTCGAGGGGGGGGGGGGGTCGGATTTTCAAAAAGAATTGAAAATTTTCACGACCTTTTTTTAGGTCGACCAAAGTGATTTTCTGAGCTCTGATTTGATTTTCTGAAAAATTCGACCAAAAAATCGCGTTCATACAGCGCGCTGCCCCCAAAATTAGTACGTGATGGCGCCAAAAGTGCCTTTAGAAAAATTTCAAGGTCAGTCATCCAAAAGTGGATATCTCAAAATAGTACAAAGGGGGGCAAAATTGGCCGATAACTTGACATCGAAAAAGCAGTTCTTTTGCGAGTCAGAGAACCGCGTCGAATATACGATGCATAGTTTAATTAACCACTGAGTTCAGCAATTTTAAGGGACCTCTCAAACCATCCCCCTTTCACCTTGTAACAAAATGCCACATCTAATAAGAACTAATTCAACGGTTAATTAAATGTGAGTTTTGAACCTATTAAAAAACCTCCCCCTTTTGCAAAAGGGACGAGTAAAAAAGATTTGTTCGTAAGTATCAAACGAAATGCTTTCAGTTTAGAAAGCTACGGTTTTTGGGAAGTTTTTGTGGTTTCTGAAGAGTTCAGTTCCTAGAAATGGTCATTTGCTAGAAATGGAGTCTTCAGTTACTATTAGAATCCAAATTAACCATCCTTCCGGCTCGATTTTTCAAATTTAAAACTAGTTTTTTTTTTGTTTTCTGATTTGTTTCAAACTCGTTTCGATAATTGCGGTCGCAAAGTCATTTTGCAAGAAGAACCACCAGAGCAGAAACACACGCTTTAGAACAAAATTCAAAGCAAAAATCCCATCGGGGTACTCCGCAGGACAAACCCGAACTTGAAGTTAATCTGGACGATTTCTTAGTCTTATCGGTAGATAGTGATAACGACAAAAAGTTATAAAAGATTGGATTGAAAAGGGAATTAGAACAGATTTCACGCATGAGAAAAATAGTTAAAAAAACACTTATGGTATCAATCGGATGTTTTAACCCTTTCGAAATTTCGATAAAGACTAGTTTTTTAGAACCACTAAAAACCGATCCCATGTCAATCATTGAGGCGATGGACTGTATAGGACGCACAAGGACACTGAACAAGTGTAGACGCTGGTGAACCGCGTTCAAGCAACTAGCCAAAATGCCGCTTAGAATACGATTCCAAAACTTGAACTCGGCCTTGGAAAGTCATATGAAAATTTTGAGCTTCTTTATCCATCCAAAAATTGCTTTGACTGCTTTTTTTAACTGGTTTTAAATTTTAGCTGTTTTCTAAATTTACTGATACCATTTTAGTCAGCCAGTTAAAATCAGTTCACTTCCAAGTGAGACTAGTTACTTTTAAGGTAATGCTATGAAAAACAGTTTTCATACCCCCTTGCTGCTAAAATTTAACTATTTTATTACTTTTTGGTGCTATTTTTGTTGCCCCATTGGGCGTTTTTCTTGGTTGGAAAGCAAAATAGTATTTTATTGAATATTTTATCCGCTTTACCGAAGTCACCTTTGTTTTCCAAAAACTGTTCAAAAGGAATGGGAAATATACGCTTTCTTATTTGTTTAAGCTTTTTTATTTGTTTAAGCGTCTTTCGATGTACCTGTCAAAAACGCATCGCCTTTGGATTCTCATGACTATGGTCTTTGTTCTTCTTTTTGAAACTAATCTTAACTCAACATCTCACTTTGAGTTCTACATCTTTGTTTAGCTTAGAATCTTCAACCTTATACCTAATTGTCTTTTAAACTATTCTTTGTTTAAAAGACTTCTAAAACTTAGTTAGTAGAAAACCTATTCCTTTTTGTACAGTTTAAACTAATCTTAGCTTAAAGTGTTCAAAAAGTATTGGGTTTTCTACTAACTGAATGTTAGTAGACTTTTAAACAAAGAATAGTTTAAAAGACAATTAGGTATAAGGTTGGAGATTCTAAAGCTAAGCTAAGATGTAATGCTCTAGGTAAATTGTTGAATTCTGTTTAGTTTCAATAAAAAGAAGGGTGAACATAATCATGAGAATCCTAAAGGCGATGCGTTTTTGGCACGTATATCGATTGACATTTTGTTTCATAAATTAAGCATGGAGGTTATTGCGTACATTTCAGTGTTTGGCAACTTTTAGGGATCTCTCAAACTATCCCCCGTTTTGTTACCTCATTACAAAATGCCACGTCTATTATGAATTAATTCAATGGTTAATTGTATGTGAATAATGTAACTAGAAAAGAACGTCCCCCTTTTGCAAAAGGAGGGGGGGGGGAGTTAAAAGGATTTTTTCGTAAGTATCAAACGAAATGACTTCAGTTTTGAAAGCTACCTTTTTGGGGTATTTTTCGTGGCTTCTGAAAAGTTGAGTTGCTAGAAATGGTCTCTTCAATGACTATAAGCATCCCAAGCAACCATCCTTCCGGCTTGAATATTTCAATTCAAAACTAGCTTTTCTGTTTTCAGATTCGTTTCATGAGCGTTTTTTAAAATTCCATTCAAGGCTAGCTTGTGTATACTTTCAGATTCTTGAACTGATTGTTGAAGAAAAAGAACCATAACATACTGTAGCTCTGTTGTCGACGTACTCGAGTGAGGCGGGGTTCCTCTTCAGGGATCCGAGATCCACTCCCATCGCAGCATCAGACACGATGTCCAGAGCTACAAAACACTCGCCATCAAAAAAAAAAACATCAACCATTACGAGACCTAACTGTGCACTGGATAGGCGCACAATTTTGTGTCTGTATGTTCCTGGATTCCAGAGACTTTAAGCATGTTAAAATTTTATCGGAACGCTCAGAGAAAACGAAAGAACGAAAGAAGACCAAAGAGAGCGTTCTTGTTGCGGAATCTGCTTACAATTTCACAAAATACACAGTTTGGCCTCATAATGCAGAAAAATCAACAAATAAAGCGTTTTTTCCTGATTATGGGTGAGGGAGTTATTATTCATTAATAATTATTGTATATTCGCAATTGTGAGATTTCATTTTGTCGTTAATGTACTGATTTTTACAGAATTGAAAATTAGAATCGAAAATTTAAATTGAATCTAAAGTGCAAACAATTTATTTAGTTTATTATAAGGCTATTTTAGTAGAATAAACACCTGCCTAGTAGACTCATAGTGTCCCATACATCCACAAACCCCCCCTCGTCCGCCTTTTCATTCAGCACTCCAATGGCCACTGAGCAGTGCTTCATCATGGTGGCTAGACTCCTGTCCAAAATGTCGAAATGGAATGCAGGAGTGAGCATTTTCCTCCTCGTCCTCCATTTCTCCCCATCACTAGTTAGAAGACCGGTCCTAAAATCAAGTTATCAAAAAAAACTTTCGAAAAAATTGAAGCTCCTGGAATAGAGGTGAATCGACTACTTGCTCTGGTCATTTTCAATGACAATTCAAAATAGACGCCTTGGCTTTTTATGCTGTTTTTATACCTATAAAATTAGTCTAAAATAAATTTCTATAATTAACTATAATTTATAAAAGCCAAATTAACATTAGACTTCACATGCAACAGTTTCAGCTATTGGAGTACATCGCTAAGGTATAACTCAGAAAATTGTTCAGAAAAGCCTCAAAAAAGTTATTTAATTATCAACATTCCATTTTATTTTAAGTACTCTTCAAACTATAATTTGAAGAGTACTTAAAATAAAAAAATTCTGTTGATAATTGAATAACTTTTTTGAGGCTTTTCTAAACAACTTTCTGAGTTAAGCTTTTCTGCGATGTACTCCAATTGGTAAAACTGTTGCATATGACGTCTAATGTTAATTTGTCTTCAATAAATTATAGAAATTTATTATAATTAATTTTATACTAATTTTATAGGTATAAAAACATCAGAAAAAGCATAAGCTTCGATTTTGAATTGCCATTGAAAATAGCCAGAACAACTAAACTATTCACCTCTATTCCAGGCAGGCGCGGATCTAGAAATTTCTCGAAGGGGGAGCGATCTTTCAAAAAAACTTTGAAAAATTTGTGGACTTTTTTTTAGGTCGACCAAATTGATTCTCTGAGCTCTCCCAAACCACTATAAAGACCCTAATTTGACCGCATTTTCTGCGCCGCAGGCAAGTTTTTGAAAAAAGCCAAAATAAGACGCTTTTAGGCACTCTTTGGAAAATTTCGACCAAAAAAATCTTGTGTTTTCGGCGCGCGCTCCCTCCTCGAAATTACCCGGGTTGACCTCCATAGACCAAAAAGGCTGCCTTGATCAATGTCTGGTGAATTAAAAATTCAAATTTTAGAAATAGTCGTCTTCGTTACTTTCGTTATATTATTTGTGTGAGACAAAATTAAAAGATTTCAGGCTGTTTCCAACGCATTTTTAATGCGAGACGGCCAAACCTTTGGTTAATACGTTTGAGTAATCAAGGTTTATGTCATTTGTGTTTGGTTAATTAAAATGTAAAAAATCAATTTTTTTGGTTTATGGAAAACTGCTAGTCATACAGTTTCCATACATGAAAAAATACTAATCATAGACCTTTCATGCAATTTTCTGTACTTATGGAATTGCATGAAAAGTATATCAGATCGATGCTTATAACTCCTCTTTCTTTTGTATGACATGTTTTTGTATGCCTTGCTCAATGTCTGGTAAATTAAAAATTCAAATTTTAGAAATAGTCGTCTTCGTTACTTTCGTTATAATATTTGTGTGAGACAGAATTAAAAGATTTCAGGCTGTTTCCAATGCATTTTTAATGCGAGACGGCCAAACCTTTGGTTAATACGTTTGAGTAAACAAGGTTTATGTCATTTGTGTTCGGTTAATTAAAATGTAAAAAATCATTATTTTTGGTTTATGGAAAACTGCTAGTCATACAGTTTCCATACATGAAAAAATACTAATCATAGACCTTTCATGCAATTTTCTGTACTTATGGAATTGCATGAAAAGTATATCAGATCGATGCTTATAACTCCTCTTTCTTTTGTATGACATGTTTTTGTATGCCTTGCTCAATGTCTGGTAAATTAAAAATTCAAATTTTAGAAATAGTCGTCTTCGTTACTTTCGTTATAATATTTGTGTGAGACAGAATTAAAAGATTTCAGGCTGTTTCCAATGCATTTTTAATGCGAGACGGCCAAACCTTTGGTTAATACGTTTGAGTAAACAAGGTTTATGTCATTTGTGTTCGGTTAATTAAAATGTAAAAAATCATTATTTTTGGTTTATGGAAAACTGCTAGTCATACAATTTCCATACATGAAAAAATACGAATCATAGATCTTTCATGCAATTTTCTGTACTTATGGAATTGCATGAAAAGTATATCAGATCGATGCTTATAACTCCTCTTTCTTTTGTATGACATGTTTTTGTATGCCTTGCTCAATGTCTGGTAAATTAAAAATTCAAATTTTAGAAATAGTCGTCTTCGTTACTTTCGTTATAATATTTGTGTGAGACAGAATTAAAAGATTTCAGGCTGTTTCCAATGCATTTTTAATGCGAGACGGCCAAACCTTTGGTTAATACGTTTGAGTAAACAAGGTTTATGTCATTTGTGTTCGGTTAATTAAAATGTAAAAAATCATTATTTTTGGTTTATGGAAAACTGCTAGTCATACAATTTCCATACATGAAAAAATACGAATCATAGATCTTTCATGCAATTTTCTGTACTTATGGAATTGCATGAAAAGTATATCAGATCGATGCTTATAACTCCTCTTTCTTTTGTATGACATGTTTTTGTATGCCTTGCTCAATGTCTGGTAAATTAAAAATTCAAATTTTAGAAATAGTCGTCTTCGTTACTTTCGTTATAATATTTGTGTGAGACAGAATTAAAAGATTTCAGGCTGTTTCCAATGCATTTTTAATGCGAGACGGCCAAACCTTTGGTTAATACGTTTGAGTAAACAAGGTTTATGTCATTTGTGTTCGGTTAATTAAAATGTAAAAAATCATTATTTTTGGTTTATGGAAAACTGCTAGTCATACAATTTCCATACATGAAAAAATACGAATCATAGATCTTTCATGCAATTTTCTGTACTTATGGAATTGCATGAAAAGTGTATGATTAGCATTTTTCTTTATATGAAAATTGTATGACTAGCATTTTTGGTCAACCAGCGTAGTATAGTTTGGCGCCAAAGGCACCTATAGAAAATTTTTAAGGTCAGTCGGCCAAGAATGAATATCTCAAAATAGCACAAAGGGAGGACCTTTTGGGTCAACAGGGGGTCGAATCCCTAAAAGAGGGAGGGCGTTCACAACCCCACTTCTCCCCCCGCCCACGAGCTTCGAACTTTTCGAAAGTTTTTTTTTAAACCTTTAGCACTGTTTGAATTATGCTTAGATTTATGAGGCTTAATTTTTATTTTTTTTAGAAATCAAGAAAATAAAAAATGAGTGTTTCGCAAAAGTTTTCGATTTTATTCCATTCAATTGAAGCTGATTGGTGCACAAAAAAAATAGTCAAAAAAAGTTCCCCAATTAGTTCAAAAATAAATAGATGAATATTTTTCGAAGCTCAGAACAATTTTCGATTCGGGTTGTCCAATCACACCTACAGAACAAACTATTCTTTTTATGGTGTGAATCGATCCTTTATACGAATGGAGTTTTTAAAAAACCGGCTACTAGCTTTAAATCCGAAGACTTACCCTAGCCACGGATGAAACATGTAGTATGTTGTCGCTTTTTCAGAGTGCTTTGATCCCTTGAACACAACACCTGCATGGTTCGCTTTTCCCAGAAACAGAAATGGCTCGGGGCCTAGGAACAGGTAGCAGAGACCCTGGAAGTCTACGGCTAGACGCGTGAAAAAGTTCACCAGGTACTTTTGATCACGTGGTACTTGAGTAAGGTTTCCAATGAGGGGCTTTGTGTCGAGACCTAAACAACAAAAATTTCTGTTTAACCACAAAGATTTAGCACGAAAAACTTATAAAAAGTATTTGAAAGAAGAAAAAGAAAATTTACTCGCCTGTAGAAAAGTTTTTTGATCTCCAAAAAATTATTAGAATTTTTACATAAGTCAATTTTATTACTATCAGATCGAAGCAAATAAAACTGGACAAAAAAAATGGCCAAAAATGGACAAAAGGGCCAAAACGGACAAAAAAATCAGCGACTTCACCTGGTAATTTAGCTGCGGCGCTTCTGATTCCACGCTTATGAGCTGAGTAGTGAAAGTTGTAAAAAACGAATGCCATCCATAGTGCAAACGCGGTCGAAATTAGCCCAAAAGTGGCGAAAAGGTAGAAAAGCATTTGTATTTTGAGGTGTTTGAATCTTTCTCGTAAATTTTAAATTGTAAAATTTGAACGTACGCACAGACGTTAATCTCGTTTTTGTTGATAATTTAAGATTGATACTTGAGTCCAATGAGAAGTATAGACAAGTGAAGTGAATTTTAAGTGAAGTTTCAATAATTTGCTTATCAAATAACTAGGTAAAGTTTGCAAAGGTGATTTCATGCAAAACGTATACAATATTGCTTCTACACGATTATTTGCTCATTTTGGATGGCTTAATTTGATGTTAACTCGAGATAATTTGAAACTAATTTGAAAAGTAGTGACCCAAATAAAAAAATATGGTGACTAAAAGAACAAGGGTTTTCATGCGTTTTTTTTTCAATCATCATTCAAAACTCAGATTGTTAAGACCATTTATCCACAGGCAGGGGCGGATTTAAAGGTTCACCAACCAAAGGTTCACCAACCCCCTAACCAACCAAAAGGTCTAACGAAATTTTTCTAAGGGCGCCTTTTGAGCCAATATATACTAATTTTGAAGGGGAGCGCGCGCCAAAGAAGCATGTTAATATGAAATCCCTTGAGCGCCCTAGTCTCCAGAAACTGTAAAAATATCGGAATTCAAACGATAGAATTAAAGAGCATTTTTTCGGCAAAATAACTTTGCAATGCATGAATATAACAATTTTCAAACATATAATTAGTAGCAAAAAGTTCGGACAGACAGAATTAATTAAAATGAGCAATCAGTGCTTTTCGACGCTTTTTTGCATGCAAAATCTGAAGCCCAACAACCTTGAATTTTTTGTCAGGCCAAATTCAAAATGCGAGATCGTCGATTATCCGATGATTATGCTAGCCTAATTTTTAAATACTGCTATGAGCATCCAGATTTTACTATAAAACATTTCGACGCTTCGGATGCAATTGCCCGCCGTGGTTATAGGTTTTGAGCGAAACTCGGATCTACTTAACAATCCCTCTATTGTATCTACCAAAGAATCTCCACCCCTGTAATTGAAAACAGTAATTTCGCACAAGAGCATTGTATGTAAATTCGGATTTCGCTGCATTCTTATTGGTCGACAGTTTGCTGCAAGTAACCTTAGTAACGATCTACTCCCATTTCTTGAAATGGGGATTAATAAGTAGATCCCGTAGTTCTGCTTTCTGAACTTTCGACGTTATGTTTATTTCAGTTTTAATTTTCGTTGATCTCTAGACAGTTGCTCTTTTTAATTAATTCTGTCTGTCCGAACTTTTTGCAACTCTCTATACTTTTTATAATCGAAACATCGGACATAATCGTCTTAATAACTCGAAACACGCTGTCAAATGGCCAGTATTTGTCCTTGAGACAAATTGCTCTTTTGACGGTCAGCCTTAATCAATTAGAGCGAAAAAAATGTTTAAAAGGTCTACATGTTTAAAGGTAGGGGTATGGGCTGATTCAAACCAACGCCACCTGACAAGTGTGTTTAGTCGGCGGTACGTTAGCTTAGGCCGCTCGGCCATTAAAACTTATGTGTCGTCGATGTAACTTTAAGTTTATATGCATCTATACTCTCGTTTTATTTGCCTTGCAATAACCCTCAAGCATACGAGCACGGATCATGGTTGGCCTCGAACATCCGATCTTCTGGTTGCGAGGCGGAGACACAAACACTACACCACCGCTACCTTTGTTGGTACACCTCCCCAATTTTATATATCAGTTTGAGATTCTATACTACTTTTTGAAACGAGGGGCGGATTTAAGAGACCGGGAGCTTGGATGCCCCTTTTCACGAATTAAACTCCCTGACCACCCAATGCGTTCCTTTCAGTTTATTTTTTAAAATTCAATTTCTGACCAACCAACCACAAAAACCTGACAGAGCAATTTTATCTAATCAATTTTGATGAAATTGAGTCACTTCAAAGAGTTTGACCACACTCATAATATTCAACAGAGTTTTTTTGTAGCTTACCTTTGCTGAAAGAATTTTAAAGGGCACGTTTTTAAGAAAGCTGGTGGTGTGCGATAAAAAAATTCCGAGGGGATGAGCGAGAATAACTTGCTATGCAAATAAGTACTTCTATCTCATTAAGATGCCAAAGTGTGATAGACGCTCTAGATAGACGCAAATTTTTGTGTCTGTATGTTCCCAGATTCCAGAGACAGGTCTTTAAGATGTTCCAAAATGTTGGATCCTCTCACAAAAATTTTTTGGATTCCGCGCACAAATACTTGTAACGTAAATTTTGTCGGCACATTAGTTTTTTCGCGGATTCATCAACGAGCAAATATAGGTAATTGTTCCGGATTCCGCAAAAGTAAAAGGACTCCGCAAATTTAAGTTGATTCCGTAACTTTATGCGAATTCCACTGATAAGTTGCTGATTCCACTTACAAGTTACAGAAGCCGCTTCCAGTTGGCGGATTCTGATTACGTTTGCGGATTCCAATCACAGTTACGGTTTCCACGATTGCTCAATTTTACTAAACACATTTATTATTATTTTTTTTTGTGGATTCCACAAACTTTTCCGGCTTGCGCAAGTTTTGTTGCGGATTCCACAAAATTTATTGAGGATTCCGGAAAGTTGCTTACTTTTGGAGCGTTTGTGAGCAATACAGTGTCTTAGCTATTTGTCCGTGGAGTGGTCTGTTTGTGGATTTCGCAAAATGTAAGGGTAATCCGCAAAATGTAAATGGAATCCGCAAATTTATGTGGAATGCGCAAATAAAATGCGGATTCCACTTACAATTTGCGGTTTCCACTTACAATTTGCGGATTCCACTTTCAATTTGCGGATTCCGCTGACAGTTGCGGATTCCGCAACAGCTCAATGTAACAATACACATGTTTGTGGATTCCACAAATTGTTCTGGATTCCACAAATACAGTTCCGAATTCCGCAAGTTTGCCTATTTTGTAGCGATTTTGAGTGTTACAAAGTTTTATGTATTTGTTTGTGCAATCCAAAACTGCAAAGAAGTTCAAAGAAAAATAGCAATTCGGCGGATTCCGCAAAAATTCTGTTTCTGGCCTGTTGCGGAACCCGCTTACAATTCACAAGATGCGCAGTTTTGCCTCGTAATGCTGTTTTAAATTTTTTTTTCATTGCCTTTTTCTCGAGGAAAAATTGCAAACAACACTGCCATTTTCGCGAGAAAATTTTGAAGGCTCCTTGATAATTCGAACTCAATTGATCATTTTTTTTTGTGATAGAGTCAGCCTTTTACAACTTTGTCTTGATGGATGAGCTTAGCTAATTGAACGAAAAAAAATTTTGCAGTTAATTGAACGAAAAAAACGAAATAGTTTTGCTCATTCTGGTTGTTATTACGACATCCCATTAGTTACAATGAGGTAAAGTGGATGTTTTTGTGTCCTTGTTTTGTTCAATTGTTTTTAAGTGATAAAAAGTTGAAAGAAATCCGGGAAAAAAATTTGAAATTGAATCTGCAAAACTCAAAAGTTTGTTTGTTGACTTATAAATAGAGCCCAATTCAGGTTAAGGTTATTTAAAAAGCCAGATTTACTGATTTTTACAAATTATATTGTTTGACTGCATATGCTTAGTTCTAAAACTATAAAGTTATCTCAACTCTGACCCTTTTTTTAGACCACAAAGAAAACACAAAAACCTTTACTAAATTCTATAAATGTGAGATTTTTTGCTTCATATTAAAAAATTCGCCTTTCCAAAAAAACCAATCCAGTTCAATTCAAAACTTTCCAACAAAACGCGTTTTCTAATACATTTCTTAGAAAGGTATTTTAAATAAACGCCAAAAACTAAAGAAATAGATCTGGATAATTGTGATGGTTTTCAATTTTCTCATTTTTGGTTCATGTAAACAGGTAGAACAAAACTGGGAAAAAAAAGTTGATTCCAAGAAACTGTTATTTTGCCTTAAATAGTGGTCTTTTTGTTCACAAAAAAATTCAAAAAAGTTTAAATCAATAAAATAATGAAGTTGTCCAATCCAGAAAGTTCGAAATTTCAATTTTTTGTTGACTCATGCTTTTGAATAAGCAAACTGAATTTTCTGACAACCCGGCAATTTAATAACTAGTCACGAGATGAAGCTAGTTTTCATTCAAAAAGTCAGAAAACGTTTTGAACATGAAATTGCAGCCAGTTTTTAAATTGTAACCATTTAACTGATTTTCTGAAGGATGTTTTGCTTACATCGTGGAGGAAAAACAAAAAAAGTGCTTTCATTTAGAATGGTATTACTTGATAAATGTGTTACTAGTTGAAAGGCGAAAGAAGAAACTAGGAAATTGACTGCTAAAATGAAGCGACGCTGTAATTGGTATGAATACTTTCCAAATGACATAATTTTTTATTTGTAGAAAATCACGCAACACAATTAAATTTTTTCAATCAATTTTTTCTTTACAAGCATTATACTAAGTGCCCAGATCGTCAAAATTGCTGCTTATAAAAATCTCAAACATGGCCAATACTTTTTAAACATCTAGTAAAATGCAGGAAAATTATATGACTAGCCTTCTTCCATAAAGAGGTCGAGACGCATGCAATCTTCCCGGGTTGAGGTCCTAAACTCATGATAAGACTTTGTCAGTCGGGCCGCATTCAAACATAAAATGCAGAGAAAGTCTGGAAATTCCAAAGTTTGGTCGCAAAAGTCGGGACACACGTTTCGCGAATTTATGCCTAGACCTCGGAGACCAAATTTAAGTTCTGACTTCTATGACCTATGCAGCAACTTTCGCGATTCATTTCCAGACTTTCCAGTTTTTATGTCCAGACTTTTCAGACTCAAACTCTCGGTTCGACTAGGCAATTTGGGGCTGGATCTGGACGCGGCGCGACCCACAGCGCAATTTTCGCAACCCACAGAGCGTTTTCACATCCAGACGTTTTAGAGTTTGTCGCAAAAAATTGTTTCTTGGCCGCGCCGTTTCAAACTTCTCCACGTTGCGCCTTTTCCATGTTTGTCGCCAGATTTGCGCCGTCTTCACCGTAAACGCGAAAATCGCGCAGTTTTTACCTCGATCGCAAAGGTCAGAAGGAAAATTGTCTTGGTTGTGCCGCCTCCGCCTTGTTCGCGAAAGTCGCGTGTTCCCCATCTGGGTCACGAAAGACTAGAAGTGGCATGTTTTGGTTGCGCCAACCAGGCCGTTTGCGGCGTAGCATGGCGAGTCGAGCTATTTCCTGAAGGGCTCCGTCTCCAACATGGTTGCGGAGGTTTCACCGTGTCCATATTGGTTGCAAAAACCGCAAAAAGTCGATGGTATTTTTCAAAAAATTACGCAAAATTTCACTGCTCTTTTCTCGAGGAAAAATTTTATAGCTCATTGAAAGTTCAAGCCCAGC